TTTCATTGAGTCTGTTCGACACCTGTTTATGCTTGAATGCACAAGATATTTTAAATCGAAGCATATATAATCGACATTTTTCCGATAAAAATAGATTATGTCATTCAAATCCTTCTCGTATAAATTATATACAGCATATCACGAGTGACTCTATTTCTCTCTGCTCGCCTGTCAAAGCGATGAATTCGTAGCGAGAAGCGGATGAAGGTTAACATGCTTGACGCAACTAAACATCCAGTAGCTTATCGGACGTATGTGTGATTGCCGTGGCGGCCTATATATTTATCGAGAAGAATAAATACTTCGTTAATTCTATTCCCAGCTGAACGCGCAATTTTTATCAGAGAATGACTCATCGCACATTCGCATCGGAATGTTATCGTTTGCGCTCTGCGAATGATGCTCGGGCTTTTGTGCTCGAAATATTCAAATTAATATAATTAAAGGAATAAATATGTTTCAACCAATACTGGCAAATTCTTTATTAAATCAATCTCACGACATTTCGACTAGAATTTTTATATATAACTATTATAATATTATTTCAGTATACTTGAAAAGGACCAGAATTATGGTTGAAATGTCGTGAGATTTATTTAATAAAAAATTTGCCGGTATGGTTGAAAAATATTTATTCTTTTAATTTTTTGACTGGCGAAATAAAGAATCAAATTAGTAATTAATATAATTATTATTATGAATAACGTTATAGCTAAGTTTCTAGGTGAAAACGTTTTTCTTGTCAAAATACGAGATTTTATATTTATTATACTATATATTTCTTTACAAGTTCTTCGAATTATACACAGAGAGAAATTTCTCTTAAAATTTCCTGAAAATTATTAAATATTTCTCATAATAAAAACTATTTAAAAAATATGTACATAGTAAATTTTCCTGTAGTAAAATTAATCGAACACATTTTATACCTTGTTGTGGTAGACATTAAAATTTCTATTGTAATAAATATTAATCAGAGCGGAACTCTTATAAAATTCTTCCAATACCATATTGTCCCATGATTTTCAAGGTAAATTTTAAAAGAAAATTTTCTCTGTGTACGTGATATTTTTCTACAAGTATCACATTTTTTATTTATATTTCTACTGCAATTCACATATTTTTTTCTATCGAAATGCACTCTGACTCGAATATCTATACCTTCTTCAAGTCCTGTAGCATCCTTGGGGTATCGATATTACCATTCTTGCGTTTAACCCTTGAAGGAACAGGCAATTTCTCTTCTGCTAGGGATCGTTTTCCATATACGTTCGTCTCTTCCTTGGCCTCCATCTCCTGAAACTGATGATATAGCTCCCCCGAGGATATGAATCGAATTTTCACGAGCGTGCGACGTAAGGCGATAGATGAGTGAAGTTATATCCTGGATCTATCAGCCCCAGGCAGATGACGTAAGATGACAATAATCCTTAGGCTTACAGTAATACTTCCGGAAAGATCAAGCTTTGCCCTTCTTATCTTAATATTCTTAATCCCGTATATATTCGCAGAAACGATTATTTTTGTAGAAAGAAAAGAGAGAATACTCTTTGTGCTGCTCGATGAAATGCTCTACATATTTCCACTGTTTTATGCCCGGACCGCTTATTTCCCTGAACGACGTTCTCAGCGTTTAGACGAAAGATATACGCCTACGGGAAGACGCTCGTTGTAATTGCATTGGGCCGCTCATGCAAGTTTCATAGAAGTGTCAAGGCAAACGAAAATGCATTACGAATATATAGCGCTTAACCCTTTCGCTGCACGTATACCATATATCGCGCATAAATTTCGCATATGCTGCGAACACAATTTTCCCGAGTAGTTGTATAGTCGCAAGATTAAGTATTATTGAAAAACACATCCTTTATAATATTTAGATTTTTATTTTTTATTTCAATTCGAAAAAGGACCATTTTTTTTTTAGACTTTATTCTGTAAATTTTTTGTGACTGTTGTATAATTTTAATATACAATAATTACAATAAAGCAAATTTGTATCTTTTTTACTAATAATATATTTAAAAATTCACAGAATGAAAAGTCTAAAAAATGCTCCCTTTATGTATATATAAATAAAAAAATAAAAAATATATACATACTATAATATAAATAGAATTATAAATATAAACAGAAAATAAATAAGATATATAATAATATAAATATAAGAATAATATACATCATCCTTTTGTAATATTTAGAGTTTATTTTTCATTTGAAATTCGAAACTAAAATAATGTGTATAAAATAATCTTTTAAAACTTTGTAATTATTGTATAATTTTAGTATCTTTTTTATGAATTTATTTTTAAAAAATGTTGTAACGCCGTGAATCGATCACAAATAATAAAGGACGTCATTCGTTTTAGTTATATAGGCAGATGTAGAGTTATAAGTGCACTTTGGCTATTACTCTTTTCAGAGAGAGCTCTCGTCCACCGATTGCTTATTATGCGAACTACGCAAAGCGGGTTATTTTAGAAATTTGTAACAAAGCCACCACCGCCCCCGACGTACACTCTCTCGATAGTTGGCAGTTCGTACGCGTATTGGCGAAATGCCACCTGTGCGCAACACGTGTACGCGGAGATTTTCGCAAAAATGAAAACGGATGGTAGCGACGACGGGATTTGCTACTCGTAAATTTATTTCCATTGATACCGTTCGATTAATTTCGTCGCGCGCACGAATTGTTACAAAATTTTAGAAAGCAAATTAATAGAATTAATTAGCTATTCAACGATTTTTTAATTAAAAAGTTCAGAGTGGAAAATTTAAAAAATCTTTTTATACACATTTGAAATTTCGAATAAAAATTATAAAGGATTCATGGCGTGTATTATTTTTTTATTTATATTATTGTATTATTTTTTAATCATTCAATCGACTCGAAAAATATCGTTTGCATGAAAATATACTTTGAGTATTAAACGAGATCATGTTTCGCCTCGGATTGCCGCGATTAAGTCAACGGCCTGGTTAACTTTCGTAATTATTGCGAATTAACCTTCTTGTTCGCGCCGCGAATACACAATTAATTCCGAGAGACAGTAGGAATTACTTAAATTGAAGAATTTCGTCAATTTTCGCGAAAGTTCGCTTAAAATGGCAAGATTGATCAATGCATCTATACATATAGTAACGCGTTATTAAATTATAAAGGAAGATATCTCAAAGAGATCGAACAAACTAAATATATGCAAAATCAATATCTTCGAATTAAAATCACTCCGCTTTACATGAACGTTTTGCATCTCAATATCCGATAATTCCTTCATTTTTCCATTCATGTCACGGAACGATGTTTATTGTTCCAGCTTTAATATATCTCGGAGGAAAAACAAAGAGGAGATAAAACTATAAAGCAGCTAGACTATTAAATTAAATTAAATTAAATTAAATGCTCCGTTGAACAAAACTATATAATTAATTAAAATTACATTTTAAATAATCTTTTCGACATTTATGGATACTTTGAAAATGATAGAGATTTAAAAAAGGAGACGAGTTGCTCCAACTTCTTTGCGCAGCGTATCCGTCCGTCGCCGTTTCGGTGCATCGCGCATTATGTATTACATCTCCCGACGTTGCATCGTAACGTGAATGACGTCGTCGGAAAGTTATGTAAGTGGCAAACAAGCGATCAGACGACCGACTTGCGTTTCGACGCACACCGACCAGACACGCTGCCTCCGGGAATCGGACAGAATCGATGCATATCATCTCATACATATTATCTCAAAATTCTTATAAGATTTAATACAAATTTGTATTAAAGAAAATATTTATTTAAAAAATTATTTAATTATTATATTATTTATTTATTATTTATATTATTTCTTTTTTAAAATAAATACAATATTTTCTAAAAATTATATAAACAATTTTTAATACATGAAATAGAATAAAATTTCTAATACATAAAAAAAATAGACTTACTAAAAATATAAGATAATTTTAATTTATGCGGCATACATATATTCATCGTATTCTAATATCTAAACTTTCCGACAATCCTAGTCACAGAGTTATGCAAAAATTTAATCAATCTTTATTATATTAACCCTTCGGAGCCAGTCAGTGAGAAATTAGCCGACTTGTACGTGAGAGTCGCACATGTGCGTGCATCGCGAGCGTTTCCGAGGAAGGGTATTGCACGTTTCTAGGGATAGGGACACGCGAGGAGGCGTGGCGACAAAAGCGGAAGTTAAATCGTTAAATTTCGCTCAGTCTCATTTTTTTCTCCGCGCAACTCGCGCAAAGCTGGCGGAAGTGCACCCTCCGTTTTATCATCCGATACCTGCGTTCTCGAATGCAAAGGCGATTGTTAAATATTAATTATTATTATTATTAATGATAATATTATTAGATTATATTATTATATTATAAAATAATATTGTTATATTAATATTAAGATAATATTATTAATTGGTTTTAAAGAAGAATGCGAAAAATTTACTTGAGCTCCCGGGAAAAAATTTTTATATATGACAATATAAAACAAAAATTATACATATACTCGCAAAATTATACATATATGAAATATGTCCATACATAATTAGATGAAAGTGCTTTTTATATATAATTATATAAATTTATATATATATATATATAATAAATACACAAGTATTTCTTCATATATACATATAAATATATGTTTCATATATATAATTTGACATGATCATATATGAATTCTTATAATTTATATATAAATTTATATAATTATGTATAAAAATGGACATATTTCACATATAATGTTACGATTATATATATAATTATACAATTATTTATATATAATTACATATAAAAAATTGTTTCCCGGGCTGCGTTTTTAGGAGAAAGAAATGTTGACTCTTCTGATGTTACTTATTAAAATTATTTATTATTAAGAATATTTATTTTGTATATATATAGAGTATTTAGACAATAAAATAAAATATCTTTTATATTATATGTATATTTGTATACTATAATAGGATGCATTTATCTTTTGATTTCAGCGAAGGTAGAGAAAAAGTACGTGTCTCGTTGTTAGGTCCACAACCATCGCCGGCGACGCCCGGTGTTCTCTTACTGGAGCCGATAACACATTTGACAGGACATTCGATAAACATGGCCAACAATTCTGCGGAACTTTTGACTACGCACACCGAACACACCACGCCCGCCTATCACGCGCAAATAAGGTAAGATATTCACTATCCTGCTACGAAATTTTCAGTCATATTTCACCACATAAAAGATAAATAAATTACTAATTATAAAATAAATTGAAACATAAAAAAAAGGATATCATTATCAGTCATCTCGTAAGAAAATATATCTTTTAGTATATAATTTTGTTAAATAAATTTATAAAATAATATTCGAGAAATAAATTAGACAGCCATCAAAGAAAGAGATCGAGAAAATCATTAAAAATTATTAAAATTAAAAACAGGGACAAAAAATCTAAAAAATTATCTTTCATTTTTCTGGATTTGCATAATTTTTTTGATACACGTTTTTTTATAAATGAGATACGAAATTCTTGTAAAAGAAGCGAGCACGAAAATCATCGAAGAAAAAATGAGAGACACTGTCCCTGAAACAATTAACCTCCTGCGCACGATTCGCGCGACCCTTGACGATCTTAATGGGCCGGAAGTGACGTTACTTTCTCTCTCTCTCTCTCGGTCCCCTTTGTATCTCCGTCGCCTGGTACCACTGCGTTACCAAACTATTTACGACGGTTCTCCGCGGTTACAGACTTGCTTGTGGTACAGTGTAACTATTGCGCGAGCTATCGCTATCGCTATTTCGACATTACAAGCGGTCTCACCCACGTAAATTTTCCAAGATAGTTTCTTCCTTTGTCAAAAAGATATATAGTATTAACTGGCGAACAATGAGATGTGAATCTTCTCTGAACATGATCGCGTGTAATTTAATTTCGTAACATTTTCGAGTTGACGTTTTGAAACCTTTTTCATAGAACCATTAAAAATGTTGCAGAAATATTTTCAATTGTTCGAATTAATATAATATAATTAAAATATTTTTAATTGTTCGAAGTAATATAATATAATATAATTAAAATATTTTCATTTAATTTCAATTAATAATAATATAATATAATTAATATAAAGATAATTGTCGGAATTAATTCGAAAGAAAGCAATAGGAATAATATTTATTTCAAAATTTCACAAATCCAAACATCAAATACCAAAATGTGTTTGTCATTTTTTAAATGGAATATCGGACTGAAATTACACCTTAAAGAATACTTTTAGCCTGTAAAAAGCTGAAAAGTAACTTTGATACAAGGATGATAAAGATTAGCGCGTGCGATGACAGTTGATGAAAGTGAACGCAAATAGTTTGCAACTCGGGGAGGAAGAACCGACGATTTGCCACATATGTATATATACATATATATACACCCGCATATTGATACGTACTAATATGCATATCTCGCGGTCATAAATAGAATTCGAGCAGCGCGTGAACGTCTAAAAGTAAAGTTGATTGCAGTCTGTTTACTCTTGATTCCGGATAAGAGTTAGCACGAAGTGTAATAAACTCCGCGATAAACAACTTACTTTAGATTCTTCCGAAAGATTTTTGCGTGAAATGGAACTTCGACGACTCGCATTAAAATGCAAAAAAAAAATTCTACAAAATGTTTTAGCTCTTTATTTATATCACACGTTTACATATATAAATAATACGATATATTTCTATAATCAGTCTAAAAGCAATTGTGCGTTAGATTAAAAATAAATTAAGATTGTTCTTATTTGAAGCACATGATATACACACACACACACATTTTTACTCCAAGTCACATCAAATGTCAAAATTGCATTTCGTGCATTTGAGTGCCGTCAAAATGAATGCCGAAATAATTTTCTACAGATTCTAATTTTCTAACCGAGCGATGCAACGCGCGATCGCATCGGTTGCAACGATTATGCATTCGTAGTGTATATATACAGACATTGTTGCTTAGTGAAACACACGTTACATAATTCGCGCATACGTCGCGCAAGGTTTCTAATTGCTAATGCAAGCCAACGTGACGATGGAATCCGTCCGCGTGAAAAATTCCCCGGACAATTTTGTCGCGCGTATAAATTTTGCAATGTTATAACGTCTCAAAAGTTAACTCACGTATGGCTGAAACTCGTCGGATTTGAACTCAGATTTCTCTTTCATCCGTTGGCTTTATAAAAAAGCAGCACGGGAGAAACTAAAGTTTCGCGTAAAATCAGGGAAAATGCGGAAAATAAAAATATTAGCCACCTAAACTTTTACATTTAACTACAACTGTTCCTATTTTATTACCTACATCTATGGCTAAAATTTTGGCATAGTGGCTAATATTTTTTTCCATCAACTGATATAAAAATAAAAAAATTTAATATTAGGAAAAATCGAAAGAAAAATATTCCAGCCATCACAGCTAAATTTTAGTTGTTTCTATATTAGCTATGATAGCTAAAATTTAGGCATGATTTTTGACTTTTGATGGAATTGGCTGTTTTTTATATGTTGTAACTTGTAAGTTACAACCAGTCAAACAACTCGCAAAGTTGTAATTTTTGTGTTTGATTGTAAATTAGTAACCATCTATTATTTAGCCTTGAATCTGTTATATTTTTGTTCAGTAAGTCATAAGTTATAACACGTGAGAAAATCAGCTGATTTTATCGGTATTCAATTTCATGTAGGATTTTATGCAGGTTCTAAAACCTCGTACGTAATAAAAAAAAATTAAATCTTGGTAAGATCAGTTGGTTTTCTCATGTGTTGTAGCTTATGATTTGCTCAATAAAAAATCCAATAGGTTTAAAGCTAAATAATGGAGCTGATTTACAGCCAATCGAATGCGATAAACTTGGGCTCTACGAATTGTTAGACTGGCTGTAACTATCTAATATTTAGCTTTGAGGCTATAAAACCCTATATGTATTTAATTTTGGCTTCTTTCAGGGATAGCTAAAAATTTAGCTATGGTGGCTAATATTTTTCCCGGACTAACTGACACAAAAACCAATTAAATTAATAAAAAAAAAAAGCCAGAAAGGAATCATTCAATTTCAAACTCATCATAAACTACAACATATGTAAAAACAACCAATTCTATCGAAAGCTAAAACCCTATGTATTTAATTTTGGCTCCTTTCAGGGGTAGCTAAAAATTGAGCTATAGTGGCTAATATTTTTCCGGACTAACTGACACAAAAATCAATTAAATTAATAAAAAAAAACCAGAAAGGAATCATTCAATTGCAAACTCACTATAAACTACAACATATGTAAAAACAATCAATTCCATCGAAAGCCAAAATCCTATATGTATTTAATTTTGGTTCCTTTCAGGGATAGCTAAAAATTTAGCTATAGTGGCTAATATTTTTCCCGGACTAACTGCCACAAAAATCAATTAAATTAATAAAAAAAAGCCAGAAAGGAATCATTCAATTCCAAACTCATCATAAACTACAACATATGTAAAAACAATCAATTCTATCGAAAGCTAAAACCCTATGTATTTAATTTTGGCTCCTTTCAGGGGTAGCTAAAAATTGAGCTATAGTGGCTAATATTTTTCCGGACTAACTGACACAAAAATCAATTAATTTAATATAAAAAAGCCAGAAGGGGATCACTCAATTCCAAACTCATCGCAGAATCCGTGGACCAAATACGCGCATCTATTCTACACATATATCCATATGACGATCCACTATTGCCAGTTGTTTTCCACGTACACATATCGCGGTTTTCATTCATGTGCACCTGTGCGCGCGCATTCGTCGGACACAATCCTACATCCAAGAGTGAGACGGAGAAGGAGAACGCGACTTATAGCTCTGCATCACCACCACCATCATCACCACCACCAGCACTCCACCAGCAGCAGCGATGCCAGCCTCGCCAAATCGCGGACACCAGCAGCGCCCGGCACCGACGCGACGCCACGCTGCGCTCCTGGTTCACGCGCGGGTTCACCAGACGAGAGGTGAGGCGAGGTGAGGCGACGTGTCGCGTCCGGAGAACGGGGAGAGATCGATATAGCGTGGGTGGATGTGCAGAGGTGCGGTGAGGCCGCCGCCGTCAGTCGTGCTGTCGGCTGCATCGCCGAACAATCGCGTGCACTCTTTCTCTCTCTCTCTCTCTCTGTCTCGCTGACCAATTCGTCTCTCTTCCTTTCTCTTCTCTCTCTTTATTTTCTTCCCCTTCCTCTTTCTTTTGCATCCAGTGCAGCCGATCGGATGCAGCGGGAGTGCATCGGGTCTCGGGATCGCTGCATCCCCGATGATGCGGTGATAAGCTATACGGTTGTACGGTGATAAGGCTGGGTGACACAGTGGCACAGTGAGTGAACAGTGGGGATTTATCAGTCGGATTTATTAATCGATCTACGGATTCTCGACGAGAGAGAGTGAGTCTGGGAAATAGTCTGGGAGACGATCGTCGTGGAGATCTTCGCCGATTTTTCTCTCTTTTTCTCTCACGTTGACGCACGTGCGTGAGCAAGAGTGCGATTTTTTATCGCTGCGAATTGCAGGTTTAATGGTCCCGTACGATCTCGCAATCGCAATTCCGCGACGCAAAATGACGAACTCTGACCGATTCGCGAACAACGAATGCACGATGCACGCACTGAAACCACATTTTTCTATTGCATTTTATGTATTTTTTATTATGGAGATTTCCTCCGATACGACGCCGCAAAGTTCTTATGAATATGAGAATAAGAATTCGAAATGTGTCGATTTTCTGCGGACGAGAGACTCCGCAGAGACACATATTTTTTATATTTTATATATACATTTTTTGAGCAAAAATTTAATTTGTTTAATATATATTTTTTTCTGTTTTTGCAAAATTTACGCACAATTTTATGCTTTATCATACAATTTAAAATTTATAAATATGTGTTTTATATTAATAAGAGGGATGAAAAATATATGAAGAGAACAGCGCGTTTTCCTTCGGAGAAAGAAAAATAATAAACCGTCAGTTATCGACTTTTCCGCATGCCATTTTGCTTCCGTGTATATTTCTAGTAGTCTATACCACACAGTTTATACACTGTGCATTTTCCTTTGTTCCTTCTGTCACAGTTATATTGCACAAATCCTTCTATTTGCTCTTCTATTAATCGACAATAATTTCCAACTTCAATACTATA